CTGGCGGAATATTAAGAGGCGACGCGTAACCATAATGGGGCAAGGCCCCATGAATAATGATCATTAAGATGTTATTGTGCTTTTCCGTCATCACGAAAGCATGAACTGTAGAATGGAAAGACGTAATTTAATTTTGTGCTACCGAGATAAAATCGATTACTACGATGCGATACGAATAACATTATTACGTGGTTGAATTTAGATCGGATCTTAGATCTTAAGGTAATACTCGAACGAAATCGAATAATTTAATATTACATTATAGTTCCCAGCGTTTCATACTTGTCAATTTTATATCGCCAGTTATTTAAAAAAACTCGTTATTAATCATAATAAATATATAATAAAACAATTAAGAAAGCGTAATACCTTTCAAATAAAAATTTATAATTTCTTCCAAGAATTTAGTAATAGCCATGACTCGCACAAGTAGGGAATTTGCTTCGCAAAGAATAAAGAAATCAATTTTTCCTCACGCTAAAAATCCACATCATTAAAAGAGCTTCTGCCCACATTATAATGTAGGTGAGCGCACGAGAGAGAAAAAGAGAGGGCGAGAGCACCGGAGAGAGGGGGAGGAAGCGTGTGGCGGATTAAATTGGAGATGGAAAGTATGCGTTTAGTATGGTATTATTATACCATACGCCATTACAACATTCCTCGATGTCCACACGTTACAACACGTTACTACTATTACTACTACTGCTACATTGTCATCATCGTCCATTACGCTCGCGCCATATTTCTCGCGCGCTTGGGTGGGGAAGAATCCGGTCGTCCATCCGTTTCCCTACCTCGTAAATCATCGCGATGGGCAGCCACGTAGGTCACTGGATACGTCGGTGAAATAGCGATGGACGAGGTGAACGAGGATGGTCCAAGGATGAAAGAGGAAGAGAGCGATTGTCCGGTAAAAAGTCGTGATTTTCGAAGCGAATGTTCGAAGATCGTCACGAGCCAAATTATCGTAATGACTATTAATAGATCCGTCGGAAATCAATGAATTATATTGGCAATGGAAATCAGTTTATTTCATAAAAGGTCTCTATATCTTCAAATGGACTTGACAATGACAATATTACATGAACATTTAATACCGGTAGTCAGCGGCTCTTTTTGCTTAACGTCGCTTCACGTTCCGCGGAGGAGATGGTCCTCCGGCTGGAAAACGACTCGCATTATGTCAACGAGAGGATGATGATATAGACTACTTCGGAAAGTGCATTACCGGCGTTTCTCGCGTTTGTTCTCCGCCTCGGGCTTATTTATCGCTCCGGGGGTCGAGTCGCGTTGGCTTCAAGTCGCAGCTGCTGTCTGTAATGGAGTTGCGTACCGCCGTCATATATGGGGCAAGAAGTTGGGTGCAATGGGGAAGTAGTAGCCAACTCGAGAACAGATGTGATGGAAAAGTGAAGAACCTCGAGAAAAAGTAAATACTCTGTACATCGAGTGTACGATGAGCGAGAAGCTGAGCGCGGAAGAAGGGCGCAAAAAGGCCAAACGCATGTTGGGAGGGAAAGAGCGGAAGAAGAGGGAGGGAAGAGCAACATTATTCTGGAAACGCGCGAGATGACACGTGAAATGATACGAGAATATGCGATGGGTGCAAACTGATATCGCACTTGCAGAAACGAGTAAGGAAAGGCGCGAAGGGCAGCAAAACAAGGGGAAAGAAGAGCGATGGAGAGATACACGCGGAAATAAGCTGGGACATTATCGTGGCAGAAGAAACCGGACGACCGGGAGGACACTTTGATGCATGGAGGGTGAACGCGAGTGCGAATCAAAAAGAAATCCACTCTCGCGGTCCATAAAAATCCGTCGTGCTGCGCGCGCGGCCCAAAAAACGCGAACGCAAGGTTGCCGTTGTCGTGCGAGGTGAGAGGTCGGAGAAGAGAATCCGCGCGACCGCTGACACCCGTAAGTGGAGTGGCAGCGAGCGTAATAAGAAGTAAGCGAAACGGGGAAAATCCAATTGAGGGGAGCCGCGACCGCGCGGACGAGGACGAGGCGCGCGAGAGTTCTCGAAGAAGAAGAGCGAGAGAGAGGAGGGAAGAGTGACAAGGTGCGAGCGACCGGGAGGGAACGAGAGCACATCGCAAAGAAAAAGGACAAAGATTGGGAGACATGCGCGAAACGAGAGAAACATGAGAAGCGCCGCTTAAGGAAAATCAGTCTAACTGCGCATACACAATCGAGAAAAGAAATGCGGGAAATGTAAAAAAGGATAAATAACAAGGAAGAGGGTGAAAGAGAAAGAAAGGAAGTTTAAAGTATAAAAGAGGATCTATGTAAACAGTTGGCATAACTGGAAAGGTTTCGAAAAGCACCTTCAAAAGAAAACGAGACAAGCGAATCCAAGGTGAGATCACAAGGTGAGAATCGAGTAGAAAGATGCAAACGAGATTACCGCAAGAAAATATCTGGGGGGGGGGACATTTTGGGGAGGGGGAGAGAGTATCGAAGAGCCAGAGGACGCCGTCCTCGGGGAATAGACAACGAGAGAAAAGAGGCAAAGACAGAGATCCAGGAGGGCAACGCGGACAGCGAGGACCGTGATAATGAGAGAGGAGGATGATGTGGGACGAAGTGGCGGGCGCGACAGAGAGAAATTGAGTGGGTATACAGGGATGAAGGGTTGAGCGCCACGTTGGTGATACGTTGCGAGGGAGTAGGAGTGCTCGAGCACATAGAACGGAGCGGAAAAGAGGATGACGAGGGGGTACGGCAGATCGAATGAGGAGCGCAGTACGTCGGGGCAGAAAGGAAGCGGGAGGGGGAGAGGCAGGGGAGAGTACGTTGAGGGAGGGTGTGAGGTGACGTCACGCCGGGTCGATACTCACTCATACTACTCCGCCGCGTGCGGTACACGGTATATCCCCGGCGATGGCGCACGCGCATCTTTTACCCCTTAACCGTACCACCGACACTCGTACTCGCTTCTGAACGCTGCTTCCCGCCATATTAGCCACCATGGGGTAGGCGAGGATGTGCGACAGGGGTGGCTCGGGGGTGTTTCTTCTTTCGAAAGGTAAACCACGCGCTTTTTTCTCTCTCTCTCTCTCTCTCTCTCACTCGTTCTCGCTTCCTCATTCTTCGTTTGTCTATTTATCATTCTCTCACTCTGCCGCACTCATTTCCTCATCGGGCACCTACTTAACCGTCCTACGCGTGCCCTTTCGCATCACGTCGCCGGTCACGTGAGACCGGAAGGGATTGGCAGCTTGCATCCGAGAGAGGGACAGGTCTTAGAAGAGAAAGATCGGCTGGCGTCCTCTTCAGCGGTGGTGCTGGTCGAGGACAACTCGCGCACGCATGGGACCCCCGCGACGAGGTAGCGCGACACGCGCGACGGCGTTTGCCCGGCAGTCGGGTGAGACCGAGAAATGCAAAGAGAAGACGGACGGAGTACGGGGGTGGTGGGCTACCGGCAGGAAAGGCGGCGAGGAATTCCAGGAGCCGCCGCCGACGTCGACGAACGAAAGGAGCTGCAAATCAGCCGCGGCAGCGTGGATGTCCCTGCTGTCGCTCTGCGATTGGATGTGCGGCACCGCCGCGTGGCTCGTCCCGGTCACATGCCTCCGCGGGGTGCGTTTTTCCCACGGTTCACCTTTTGTGCTAGTTCTTTCGATCGTTGGCGTCGCAAACGACTGTTAAACGCGCTGATAGATATGAGTTTTTTCGAGATGCGCGGCGCTGGGTGAAGGCTCCATTGTCTCGCAAAAATCTTGGTTCCTGTAAGAGCAAATAATCCACCGTATCTTCTGGCACCGCAGTCAATGAGCGGGCGCGAAGATTTACGATGGTGTTCGTGACGTTGAAGCGTGACAGGTGGATGAGCTTGTTCCGAGCGCCGTGGTTCGATAAGGGTGCGTTTTTCTCGATAGTTTCAGTGGAGTGTGAATCCAGCCGAAATCACGGTCAACGAGCGCGGGGATTTACGCGTGGGTGCTTGTGTGTCGTCCAAGTGACAGATTGATGAGTTTGTTTCCGAGACGCCGCGTGTTTCGTTAAATGATCTTGATAGGAATTTATATTTTGCGTTTATCTTGAATAATATGCTATTTTAGATTTTATTTTATGGAGTACGTATTTGATAATTTTATTACATCTTACATGAATATATTAATTGAGATATGAGATATTTGAAAAGTAGAAGAGTTCAAGTGTAAATAATTTTTATTACTTATCTTATTTGATGGTAATTTTATCGATTATAATTTGATTACTGGTTTAAAGTTTGAATAATTTAAATTAATTATTTTCAAAAATCTCTTCTCAATAAGAGAAGAGATAGAAATTATCACTAATAAACTTAATTAAGTAAGAAATTAGAAATATGAAATGTCATGAATTGTTGAATACATCTTAATTTAATTCAGTAATTGCATAAATTTTTGCTTTAAATACTATACCATTCACAATATTTTTATATCCGTAAGCAAAATATTTTTTTTATAAACTTGTGAATTTATATATAAAATCTTTTCAATTTATAAACGATATTAAAATAATAAAATTTTTTAAATGTTATTTAAATAATTTTTCAATTAAAAAAAGATCTAGTTTGCAAAATATTTAAAAAGATTTTCAAACAATTTTTATTGATTTATTGCTTAAATTATTATTAAATTATTAATGTTTACTTATCATCATTATAATTATACGACTTTCCAAATCACTATATAACGTAAGATGTGAAGCCAAATTACGTAATTGCTAATGGAGTATACATGTGTAATTGATCCATGACATATGTAGCTCAATTGTTATGGTTATCATTGATCTAGACCTTGATTAATCCGCTTTTGATGAAGAGATGCCATTTATGCGATTCCACTTTTTGATATCACGCATCGTTGCTTTCAATCGCTCTACACATCGATAATAATATCGAACTTTCGCGATCGTCATTTTTCCTTTGTCGTTTTCCGTTTTGTAATAATCAAATTTCTTAATTAGAGTTATCAAAACGGCAAAAATCAATTATTGTTTTACAGGAGGGCCGGGGGGAAGTGACAGACATAAGCGCAAGTCCTGGGAGGCAGACACCTGCCAACCAGTTGCGCCCCAAGGAACCACCCCCCATGGTCATTCAAGGAGACTTCAGGAAGGTACTGGCAACATTTCATTAACTCGTTACCGACACAATGGACGAATTTAGTGCTCGTTGTGTCGACAAACTTCAATTGCTGGACAACACAACGATGGATTCCGACACCCGGGACTCTATTATATTGTTCGTGTCGACGATCGGTAGAAATGTATCGGCGTGTGCTTTAGTCGCCATACATTGTTTACGTAATCCGATCGCTATTATATTAAATATGTCAAAAATTTAAATTAAATCATTTTGTATTCAATTCTTTCATAAATGAATACAAAATATAATATGGACTAATTGTGTTGCCAGTCTTGCCAGTTCATTAATAATATAGAAAAGTATTGGAAATGAATTTTTGTGTACGCACGTTTTTTTCTGAAAATAAAAAAAGATCAAATTTTGTCAAGTTTATACAAATATTATTAAAATCATATGTATCTAATTTATGTATTTTTCTGCTTATTACTTATATTAATCATACATTATTTTAATATTTCTTATTTAAATATTTATATATTTTGCTATATGTAGAAATAATTTATAATAATAATAAATAGCATATAAAAACGTGGAAAATTTGCTTCCGTTGTCGAGATAATTTCGCTGGTCCATGCAAATGTTGGCAAAATTTCATTACGTATTCCCTGAAATGGAAGAATTTATCATTGCAGGTGAGCGGGATCAGTACAGAAATCTTCAAGCAGATCGAGACTGTCGAAAACGATCATGACGCATCGACAGCGGCGGCCCTCGAAGCTGTTGAGCGGAGAGGCGAGATGGTCGTGCGTGTCATTGAGCCTCGGCAAATGGGTAGACAGGCTTCCGAGGCGGCGAAAAAATTTATTGCCATGCAGGTACGTTATCGATGGACCGTCTGTTTCCGACAGATCGTGATTCATTTGCGTTCGAACGCAATATCTTGTCATAAATTAGTACTATGCGCAGTTCTTCCGGTTAAAACATTAATTCTCTGTGTCCACCTGTGTGTTTATATATCTCTTTGCTTTCCCATAACTCGATTACAGAACAGCACTGGCAACATTTAGCGATATTTTATATCGTTTTCACTACTATTATTTGTGATAAAATTGTAAAACTATACGATATTTACTTCCTTGCGGAACACAAACATTTTTAAAGACTTGCTAAAACACAATATAAAGTATATTTTGATATTAAATTCGACTAAAATTTAAGTTAAAGTTAGAGCGATTATACAATATGCATTTTATTTTACCGTACTTAATTTCTGTTAATAATTTTTTATTACATTCGTTAATGATTGTAAAAATGTTAATATGGCGGCTATTGTCAAAACTATCGAATAAATTATTGAAGCGCCGAGAGATAATATTGAACTTAACTCGATTTACAAAGTTAGACGAACAGAGTGTAACAATCTGTTTGCACCGCGGCTACATTTGTTTTACACAAATGTCGGGGTCGAGAGAAAATTATTTTCACGACAACGAAGCAATTTTGCGCGGCGTAATTTTCATCCAAAGTGCGCGCGCGCGCGCAGACGAACGCTGTGAAATATCTCGACAGCGCGAATTAAGAAAGTTCACCGGTGATATTCGTTTCAGGATCCTAAGCACCCCATCCACTTCGTCGAGATAATCAAACGACCGGGACAGACTCTCGGCCTCTACATACGCGAGGGCAACGGCGTCGACAGGAACGACGGGGTCTTTATCTCCAGGATAGCTCTGGAGACCGCCGTCTACAACAGCGGCTGCTTGAAGGTGAGTGTCCCGCTCATGCTCTACGAATTCGCCCGTTCTCGCTTCGAGACGACGACAGTGAGAAACTGACGCGATGGAGAAAACGAGGTGAGCAGTAGAATCGAGACACATCCGTGAATCGTCCCCTCGTCTTCTTTTTGCCAAGCGAGAACTTAATTGCCGTCGGTCCTCGGAACGAGCTCGGAGCGGCCATTTAAGATTGGGAACCTATTTCGAGAGAAGGAGAAAGAAAGAAAGAAAGACAGCGAAAAGAGACGCAACGACGGAGAGGGGAAGGAGGGGGGGGAAGGGGGGGAGGAGGAAGGGGACACAGGGTTTCGATGGCGCGCGAGAACGCCGAATTAAATTTATCCTTTTGCACCTTGACATTTCGCGGGTCTCGGGCATCGATCGGTCCCGCATCGTTCGGGGAGATATTTGTCTTGTCGTCCGCCGCGGTATCGTTTCTTCTCTTTATCCGCCAGTCACCATGTATGTGTCGCACGTGCAGGTGGGCGACGAGATCCTGGCGGTGAATCTGGTCGATGTGACTCATATGAGCCTGGATGACGTCGTGATCATCATGTCGATACCGAGGCGACTCGTCCTGGCCACGAGGCATGGCCCGCATCAACCGGTTTCGCATAGCCGTCAGACTGAGCACAAGGCGCCGCCCGTGGTGGTCATCAAGAGGGAATTGAACGAGGACGAGAATGATCACGCGACGAGTAATCACGTCAGGTATTATCTCAGACCGACTTCTACAGCTTGTAGCTTTTGAATTAATTGTCGGAATCGACAAGTCACCTCGTACGTCGTTGGCTATTCCGAGATTTTTACGGATAGCTTTATTGCTGACGTCATTACAAACCTTTTATACCTTTCATTTCTTCTCGTACAGAAGCTCGTCGGGGTAAATTGAATCGTTAGCGAGGAGTTGATATTCCGTTGTACATGTAGACAATCCTCCAATTATTTCAATAGTACTCTGTATTTCGATACTTGACAATTGACAATTGAAATCTTTTCTATCGTAAATTTTTTCTACCGTTAGAACGATAAGCTCTATTATTAGTAGTTTAGTGGAGAAAATTTTATTTCTTATACGCAGGGATGGCAGTAGTCGTAGACGAGGCGATGGACGCGAGATGTTGCCGTCGCGATCAAGACTCGGTCTCACGGGTTTGGGATCGAGCCAGGATCTCGGATCGAGCAACGGCGACCTGTACTATAATTCACGACCGGAGGGTCACTGGTCCTATCAACCGCCGCCACCGCCGGTTATCACGCACCAACCGAAACCTTCGTCGACGCAGCACTTCCAACCGTACGAGCGCGGCTATCCGAAGACGTTAGAGAGCTTGGCCGAGAAAGTAAGTCTTGCTATTTCAAGTGCCGAAAACGGAAATCCCGACGCGGATCGAGATCCACCAGAACGACGGAGAAGAGCAGCGAATTCTTTTTCAGGATAAATCAAAAGTAAAAAGAAGTTAAAAATGTTAATATTATAATAATTAAATTATTAATTTTTAATAATACAAATTATAATATGCTACGAATTATTAAATATGAAAAATTAACAATATTTGTTTTTCGTGTTAAATACTAAAAGTTTGAACAGAATGGTGTGATAATAATTTTTTAGGTATATATATTCCTATTATTTATGACATAAGAAAATTGTCATTTTATTTTAATTCTCACGTAATGCGATTGTTATATTACTTATTGTAATATTATTATTATCAATTTTTTCGTAACGTACCGTCGCTTATGTGATCTCGATCCGATGTAGTTCACGCATAGATGTTCTAGACGATGTGGATCGAGCACCATTTCATATCTGTCTGCACCAATTCGATACTCGTTTCTCGCCCTTCACTGTCTCCAATAAACGCTATATTTTACGACTGAAAGAAAGTGGTGAACTCGTGCCAAAATGTCTCGGGATACTTGCTGTCGCGATCTCCGTGTCATTCGGATTATCGGAATTAAGAAAAATAACTTGAAATAATAAAATAACTTGAAATAAAATAGCTTCTCGTAGCCTATTTCCCTGTGAAAAAGGAAATTAAAAAATTATAGAATCGCGTATTTCGCGACGGTCAGAATGTCGCGCGCATAAAACGTCAATTCGTTTCCAAGTTCACTTGGTGTATCGGATTTCTATCTCGATGATCCCGAAAGCAAACACTTGGCGAGAATAAACGTCGAGGAAACGAATGTCGGACAATTTCGACGAATGCATTTCCGAACGACGCGGAGCGTCGCCGATCCGCTCGCGTATCGATCACGTGCTTCAAATGACTAATCGGTTCTATGAATGAATGTTACATTGAAATTAACCAGGATTTTACAAAGGTAAAGACAATATAAACTCTATCTTGATATCTAGACTTGTATATGACTGCAATTTTCTGTATAATATCTCTAATGGACGAGTATAAATATATTCTCCCTTCCTCTCGAGTATATACTCGACGACGAACGAATGCGCGAGTGCATCTGCTCACGCAACGCATTTTATCTAAATTCCAACAATCGTTAGATCCTCAGTTTCTTAAAGAATTCAACGCATATTTCTTTTCATTTGTTGAGACGAATGCTCGAGATCGAGTCAGTAAAAATGAGAAAGATTAAACATTTAGATAATATATAATAAAAGAGATGAGAAACTCTATATATATATATATATATTTTTTATGTTTGAGCAATAATTAAAGTAATCGCAGGATAATAGAAAATAATTCTGAACTTACAATTTCTGAATAATTATATATTAATCGAAATATTTCTTTTATTATAAGCATAGAAATCAGAAATTGCTTGAGACTAAATTTTACTATTAGTATCGTAATAATAAAAAAGGATAAGAAAAAAAGGATTCTACACTTGCGGTAAAAATATATTATCCTGCCTTTGAGAATTAATAAATGAAAAGATCGCGCGGGACGTTTAATGGCAAGCGAGTGAAATTTTTTAGCCATACTCTCGGTGCACCAGTGCATTCGTTTAACGAGTTCTGCCTAGAAAAAGCGTAACGCGAATTAACGGATATTTATGTGTGTTCTTAAAATGTAGAAGTCGCGTACACCTGCCGCTGTTTGCGACATGAACCCTAACTTTATGTTTCCTTGTTGCAAGCTTGCTGCTTTCCGTTTGTTCTTTCGACGTTACGTTTTGTGCTTGTGTTCTGGATAACGTTAATCATTGTCTTGGTTAGCGTTATCATGGTCGATCGATTATCAATTGCCAGCGCTTTGCTCAGCATTGTTCCGCAAAGCTGCTATAAATTCTAATCATTTGTTAAAAAACTACTCTTCAACAACTCTTATAACATTTTAAAGAAATTTAAAGAGGTAATCGATCGATCGTAGGAAATGAGATATTATCGTTGTAATTGCCGATGACGTTATTTTTTTACGTAACAATCTAAATTTTGAAGTTATACGAAACATGATTCATAATTGTTAGTAAAATGAAAGAAAGAAAGAAAGAAGATTATTTGAGTGTCACGGCGATCAGCAACTTAAGAAAATTCACTTAAGAAGCGTCCACGAATTGTACTTAAAGATTTCGTGCGATCATGCAATTAGGTACACCCCTTCTACACGGGGCCCATGATGCCCTCGTCGAACGGCGGCCGACGTATGTCGACGGGTGGCGGAATGCAATCAGTCGGTGGCAGATTGTCGGGCCAAACTACGCAGTCGACCCATTATGGCTACGGCCAGCATACCGGAAGCGGAAGGATCATGCCGAGGAGTGGTTCCGACCAGCACCTACCCCGAGTCGATTATACGAGCATCACGACGCCGGCGCGACATACCCTTCTTAGATCCAGCTTGAAATCAGGTCCGTAATGAGTTTACCTATCAACGAAGCATCTACGTTCTATCTTTCTCTCCCTCCTTTCTCTCCCCTCTTCTTCTTTTTCTATCTCTCTATTTCTCTCTTGTCACTATCCCTCGAGACCTTTGCACGAGAATTTCCTTCAATAAAAATAACATCACTATATCTCTCAAATACTAAATTCCGAATACACGCTTGCAATTTACTCATCTCTAAATTCATTATTCTAATAATAAACATGATTTGGAAAGGATACAGAGATAGGTAATATAGATTCGGAAGAACATTCTCAATAAGAAATTTTAAGATTAGAATACATGTAAAAATAAAATATGTTAGGTCGATATTCTTTCTATGATATTATGATATTAAATGCACGTGCTATATTTTAACAGCATTTCGTCGTTATTATATTAGGTACGTCAGCATTGCGTTACAATACGAGGTACGGTGGACAGACTGATGTAACGTCCGCTGCGCAAAGACAAGGCCAATTCGGTACCTTGACAAGGCGACACCGTCCGTCGTTGGACTATGCCTCCGATACCGAGGCTACATGTTCCAGCTCGCCGAAATCAGCATATTACTATTATAGGCACAATATGAATAATCCATCTCAAAGCAGCGCTGTGTCACATTTAGCTACCCTATCGAGGTCACAAATCGGTCAGAGTTCCTCAGGTGAGTTGAGACAATTGCCCAGTTACGTAACAGCCCACGCTTCCAGAATTAATTTATAGATTTAAGGAGATGCTGAATTCTCGTCTGTATTACCGACGGAATGCAATATTTTTTGTGTCGACTTTTTTATATTTATATTTTTATAGATTTATTTATATTTTATAGATTTAGAAATCCTTTTTCATTAAAGTTTGTGCATTAATACCTGTTTAGGAAATTCGTATCAAGAACGAGATCAATTTTTTAAATTAGATCTATTTTTTTAAGTTAGATCTTTTTTACCATTTATTATGGCGTTTAGAGTTGTCAAGTTGCGTCAATATTTGCTTTATATAAAAATTTTGCAGCCTATCGACTTATGTATCTACAAAACTGATATTATTAAATTAGAAGATTACATAAAAAAATAACATTGAGTTCTTAGAATTAGATTTAAATATCTAATGTGATACAAAAAGTCGAAAATTTGTTCATATACAGAGATGTAAGTATGAATATATATATATATATATATATATATATATATATATATATATATATATATAATGTATATTAAATGTATTTATGTACGTTAGATATGCATATGTGTGAACGCTCCTGTCGGAGTTCGCTCGTCTGTTCGTATTACTTGCATCACTTTAAATTATTGATAATATTCTCTATCTCTTTTGCTGAACCGATCTCTTGATGAACCAACTTTCACTTCAAATAAACGAATTAATTAATTTGATTCTTCATTTATCGATGCTAATTAGTTTAATATTTGGAAAATCATGTATATTTAGAAATTCCGAAAATTTACTGATTATAATCATGTTGAATTGGAATATTCAAAGAAATATCTGGAGTAAGAGTTATGCTAAATTTAAAAGAAATAATATTTAATATTCAGAGAGTTACATTTAACAATCTTGAATTTTTAAAATCTGGAAATTTGCATTTTCTCTTTGACATAACAAAATTTTTGTACAGGTTTAAGGTCGAATTCACTACCACGAAGCGGTCGGACATTGCCCCAGCAGCCTGGTCTCAGGTCGGGCCTCAGCACGGTCGCGTCGGGCCTGATCGATCAAGAGGACAGCGATGGCGCTCTATCGGCGCCGGAATTGCCTTCCATCAGGCGTGACAGAGGTAAGACCCAGACAATTCAGTCGGGATGATAACTGACGATCAACGGGGCTATACTTAACGTGAAATCGTGTCGGCAAACAGGCAGGATACCATCCTCGCCGAGTGTATTCACGTCGGACGAATACCGCGCCTGGCTGAGTCGCACACCGAGTACCAGTGCTCTGTACGAACAGATCAGGGCGACCACAAGTAGACCGCCGCGTTATACATACAGCGCCGAGAACATTCACGCAGCCGCCAATCAGGTAAATGTGAACTCAATGATTTTGGATTTTCGGCAATCAGTCGGGTATGTCGCCGCTAACTTTGTTTTCGCTATAAATAACATGGTAATAGATTTTCTATCTACTCTTTGTTTTATTATTAAATATATTAGCTTACATTTGATGAATCTAAAATTGTAACTTCTTGTTGCGCGAATAATAATAATAATAAGAATATTGATACGTATTTTTTTCTACATTAATACGTATCAGTACTTTATTATTTTTATTATTACGCACAATATATGCGTAAATTTAGTTTTTTCTGTTATTAGTTTTATATTTTTTTCAAGCGTTTGTTTGAAAAAAATATAAAACTTAAACAGTATCTCAATAAACAAAAATAGAATAAAAATAAACAAAAATGTATTTGAGATAAGCATTAAAAAAAGAAGAAAACTCCGTTTAATTAGAAATCTAAATTTAATATACTATATAATTAAAAGCACCTATCTTCTCTTCAATCAAAAGGAACTTTACAAAAAAAATTCAAATTCAGGACAACTCAAAAGCAATCCATCTTCTTAATTTTTATAGGTTGTCTTTTGTGAAAAAAATTAAATTATTAATTTAAAAAATTAAATTATTAATTTTAATATAACTTAAATTATTATTAGCTAATGGATGAACTACATTTTCATATTAGCTATAAAACCTTTATAAACTTAATTAAAGAAACATTACCCACTTTAACACTTGAAGAGCTACAAATGCAAAAGCTACAATGTTGATGAAATAGTTTACATCTCTTCCTGGCTTGTGTAGGGTGATTACGGCAGTTATGGTGCATACAGGCCGCTCTCGACCACGCTTGATCGTCTATCAACGAGGTCAGCCTCGGCACAGCAGGTCAATCTCGCGAATCTAAGAGCGTCGACGGCCATCAGTTCGACATGCCATCGCGGTACAACGAATCCGAGGCCGGCCTCGGTGGCTTCGAGCGCGCGCTCATCGTTGGCGGCTCAGAAAGCATCGCTGACGAGTTCCGCGAGCCAACGGGCGACGTCGGTCAGGAGGATTAGGAATCTGTTGGACTTGGAATCCACGAGGAGTATACCTACCCCAACGCCTACCAGAACTCAGGGTCAAATACTGCTAGATATTAATCCTGCGGGTGATTAGTTAATCTGCTATGTATCTGTTTACTGCTTCGTAAATTTGAGAGCGCTAAAAGGGCCTTTCGTTTCGCAGAGTTCCTCAAGTATAAAATAGAGAAGCCACCGACTGTGGGCACACCGAGTTCGACCAGTTCGCTTTTGAGCTCGCTCGGGGAGACGACCGGCGGTGATTTGGCAAGCGGAGCCAGCGGATTGTTGTCGGTTCATCTTTTAGCAGGACGCGGTCTCCGATCGACTACGACCTCATCAGCTGCCACGACACCTTCTACTCCCTCAGGTCAGCCGAATTTAGGTGCGTTAGATGAAACACCCGTATATCTTCACATCGCCCGAGGTTGGCAAACATAAAATAATCTCTATATTGGTCTATATACGAGGGTAGTCTGAAAAGTTTTGAGCCTTAACATGAAGATGACGTTACTCGTCAAAACCATTTTAGTACTACAATAGTATATGCTTTGAAAGACTTTTGTGAAAATTTCAATCATTTTGGACGCTTGGACGTTGTTGTTTGAGTCAGTCGATGTCAATGTTTTTGTAAAAATGGAAAAAATTGAATATCGTGCCGTGATTAAATTCTTACATTTGAAAGGCAATACGCCTGCGCAAATTAAAATCGAGTTGGACCCTGTTACGGGGACTCTGCCCCATCATTTGCCACTGTAAAAAGATGGACAGCTGAATTTAAACGTGGTCGTATCAGCTTGACTGATGATGAGCGTTCGGGACGGCCAAAAACTGCGACCACCGCTGATAACATCGAAAATGTTCACCAAATGGTAATGGATAACCGTTGAATCAAAGTTAGAGAGATAGCAGAGGCTATGGGCATATCGAAAGAACGCGTTTGTCATATATTGACTGAAGAATTGGATATGCGCAAGCTATCCGCGCGTTGGATGCCGCGCTTGCTCACTTTGGACCAAAAACGAATTCGAATGAACATTTCTAAGGCCCTGTTGGAGTGGTTCAAGCGAAACGAGTCAGATTTTTTGCGTCGATTTATAACTGTAAATGAAACTTGGATCCACCACTACATTCCAGAGACAAAAGAACAGTCAAAACAGTGGACTGCAAAGGCAAGTGAACCTGCTCCGAAAAAGGTTCCATCAGCTGGGAAGGTAATGGCGACTGTTTTTTGAGATAGTCACAGAATTGTGTATATTGACTATTTTGAAAAAGGTAAAACAATAACGGGTAAAACAAGCATATTACGCATCACTTGATAAGCTGAAGGCAGAAATTGCAAAAAAACGCATTTGAAGAAGAAGAAAGTGCTGTTCCATCAAGACAACACACCTGCTCACACTTCGGCAGTCGTCATGGCCAAAAAAAATTCACGAATTGCACTTCGAATTGGTTGACCATCCACCGTATTCACCAGATTTGGCTCCCAGCGACTTTTTCCTGTTTCCTAAGCTTAAAGTTTCGCTTGGAAGACAGAGATTTTCATCGAACAAGGAGGTCATCGCATACGTAACGCCTATTTTGCGAAGCAAGATGCCAACTACTATTTGGAGGGGTTAAAGAGGTTAGAGTATCGATGGGAAAAGTGTATCGACTTAAAAGAAGATTATGTTGAAAAATAAAATTATATTTGACCGAAAAAATACTTGTTTCTATGTTAGGCTCAAACTTTTCAGACTACCCTCGTATACTCACACTTTACTCTACATTAATCTCGTATACTCACATAACGTGTAAAGTCATAATTTTGCCAATCTTGGATATAAAATTTCTATAATAGGTTCTTCAAATTAATTTTTTTAAATAAATATATTAATTTGCGATAAACTGTAGCTAGTTGCGGCTTGAGAGACTTGTACTGCGTATTGGAGTGCGATAGGGTGCACAAAGCACGCACGGTAGTGCGAACTGGCGATCTGATGTTCGATTGGGACGAAACCTTCGAGCTGGACCTCGTAGGCAATCGGCAGCTGGATCTGCTCGTTTACTCTTGGGACCCACAGTACAGGCATAAGCTCTGTTATAAGGGATCGGTGCATTTAGCGAGTCTGTTAAAAGAGTCGCCGGAACATCAACTAGCTGTCAAAGTCGAGCCACGTGGTACAATTTATCTAAAACTGCGATACACTGACGCCCAACAAACTTTCCGACGAAGAGGTCTACCAGTCATATCCTTAGCTACGAGGGTGGCGCCTCTTTTCGGGGTTGATTTGGATACAGTAGTGAGTTTTTCGTTTTTTGACAACAAATCAATCTTACATTTTTTATCAAAGTAATACAAATGTAATATGTTCTAGTTTAATCCATTTAAATCTTAGGAAACCTGTAATCATTTTTTGTTAATTAAAACAGGTAAGTCGAGAAACCAAGACTGGTGGAGTTCCCGGTGGAGTTTCCACAGCTTTGGCGATGGGAGTTCCAAACGTTCCAATTATCGTGTGGCGTTGCGTCGAAGAAGTGGAGAGAAGAGGACTCGATATTATCGGTAAATATCAAATTAAGAAAATGTCAAAGTCGGAAATATTTGTGCATGCATAATAAAGATCATCGCTTTATTTCGTGTAACAGGTTTATACAGGCTCTGCGGTTCGGCGACCAAGAAGAGGATACTTCGGGAAGCTTTCGAGAGGAACGCGCGATCCGTGAATTTGTCGCCCGACAACGTGCCGGATATCAATGTCATCACCGGTAATACATCGCAAAAGCCGTTTTGAAAAAACTAGTACTAGTACTAGTACTAGTATTAGTAACAAACTAATAGTGCAATCGATAGTGATCACGATCTTTTTTTTTCTAGGCGTACTGAAGGATTATCTACGTGAACTTCCGGAACCTCTCTTCACCAAGTGCCTCTACCAGATGATGGTCGACGCACTGGCCGTCTGTTTGCCAGATGACCCGCAGGGCAATGCTAAGCTTATGTTCAGTATACTAGATTGTCTGCCTAAGGTGAACAGGGTACGTAGAAAGAAATTATGAAGAAACAATAAGAAAAAAAGAAAGTCAATAGAGGATGAGACGAGACTTCTGCACGATTATACTCAGGTTCTAATTATACATGTTGTTCCTTGACAATAGTGCACGCTGATTTACTTACTGGATCACCTGGCGATGGTAGTATCGCAATGCAATAAAATGTCACCTGCAAGTCTCGCTGTTTGCTTCGGTCCGGTATTGATGTTACACTCGGAAGAAGGCGGACCTCCGTTAGATTTCCAACAGCCAATTGCTGTACTCAAATATCTGCTGGAGATTTGGCCAGTAAAGTCAGGTAATGTACTTGTTCTTGATGAATTTTATGTAAAACTTGTTTTTTTGCAGCTTTACAATAATTAAAAAAACAATATATTTCAATATATTTAATATATTTTAGTTTCGTTTTGATTATACTTGATTATTATTATTATACTTAATTATAACGAGCATTAAGAATAAAAAGAAAAAGTCATCTAAGAGCGGAGTAATCAGTAGCTAATTTCACAGACAGTTCGGAAGACTTCTTCAGTCGGTTCAACACTTCCTCGAGTTACGCCACTAGTCGAGCGCAGCAGCAGTCAGCAGCATCTGCAACAGGCGCAACAGCAAGTGCAGCAGCAATTGCAGCAACAGGTGCAACTGCAGGGAACATTGGGACGCACAGGGCTGCCTTGGCAGCAGCCACCCTCACTTCTTCATCAACCCCAAACTACGGCAGCCGCAGTCCTCGGACCCTCCATTCGTCCTCCACCACCGGTCAAGCCGCGTCAGGTAGGCCGTTAATGTGCGTGCTTTCTCGCACGATTCGTACGTGTTTGTTAAAGGAATCTTAACCCTAAACAGTATACAAGCAGACTCTAATCTTCATTATTACAAATGTTTATATTTATTTTAAATTGTTCACGTAAAAGTTTATATGTAGAGAATATTATTAGAGATTTTAAAAATGAATAAAGTATCGGATCACAGAGAGTCTGTTTCTTCAATTCTTTTTTATGTAAGTAAAATATATTTGATATTGTTTAGGGTTAACTGCATTGATTTTTCCGATTCCTACAGACTTATGTAAATCTTTGCTTGAATAATTCGAGATTTTGGAATCAGAAGAACGAATGGAGAAGACATCCACTAAATAACCTGAACATATAAACTCAATTTTTCTTCATTCTCGCTTCTTCTTATATTCTACGCATATTGAAATGTTATTGAATAGCATGGTAGGCAAAGTATCAAATTCTATTTCTCCTTTGTTCGCTTCGCAGACAATCTTATTTGCGCGTCTCTACAAAATTGAATCTACGCCTGTTTAGTGATTATCGATTCGCTCTGCTTACATGTATCGAACATATCAAATGTTTTCAATCACGATAAGATTTCCATCAAAGTACTTCTATTTATCATGAATTCGCAAATGTTTTGGTGTGTAATGTTTCAAAGCATATACGATTTAAAAATTTGGATCATTTTTTTCTCTTAGCAATTAATTCTCAAAGATAATTTTCAAAAATGCTGCAATGTTAATTAAAGTAAAAAATTATGATATAAATATTCCTAAATTACATATCTTTCAATAAATAATTATTTATATAATTACAAAAACAGATTTAGTTAAATAAAAATTTTTGTGAATTGTCAGAGTGAAGAATTATTTAATTTTGAAAAAATTATTATATTATAAATTATATTATATTATATTATATTATATTACATTATACTATATTATATTATAAATTATTATTATATATGTCAATAAAAGAAGTTAATTTCTATTTTGGGAAACATTCCTAACTAAAATAGATTGCGATTGTCGTTCATTATCATCACCATTAATTATTCTATCCCGCGATATAAATTTGACAAGTTTATGTACATATATTTCATATATATTATATTATCATTTATGCAAAGTGTTTTCGTGCATGCTCGATGTCATTTTTATATCTTTTGTACGGGCATACATTGGGTCGATATGATTTCCGTTTTGTGTATATAATTTCGACGTCATTCCTATTATAATGACAATTTACGTTGTCTTCTTTATCTTTTTTCGTTTGGGCACGTATTCTTCAGAGCAAGCGCAAATTGCCGGCTCTACCAAACCGCTGACAGCACAGAGACGCCGCTTCTTGCACAGGTATTATCGTTATTATCATTTTCTTTATCGTGTACATCCGCCTTTAGTTCGTTGTCACATGCATGGCCCGACTCAGATATCAGAGAAACGTTCATCATTCATGTAACTCTCATTTTATCTTCATATTATCATGTTTTATACGATCTAAATGTCGCCAATATGCTGAGTACTTGTAAATACCTTTCTCTACGTTGATGTAGCACATATTTTTGCGTATGCTCACAGTTGCGTTTCATTTCCACGACTCTCTGGTATCCGCGAAATTACATAGAAACGACTTAAAAGAAATTTCGCAGAATTATTAAAGATTTCTTGAGGATACGTGTCAGATTTTATAATATTAAAAAAAGATATATGCAAATAAAAAAATTATTTTATAAAATAATGACTTGTCAATTG